GGGGTGGAGTGGGTGGTAAGGGAGTGGGTGGGGGCAGGGGGGAGAAATGACCCAAGCCTTGTATGCACATATGAATAATAAAACAATAAAAAAAAAAAAAGAAATGAGTGGGGAAGGAGGGATGAACAGGGTGAGCATGGGATTTTTTTAGGCAGTAAAACTATTGTGCATGATACTGGAGTACATTATAAAACACACAGAACATACAACACTAATTGTGAACACTAATGTAAATATGAACTTTGAGTGACAGTGATGTGTTACTGCAGATTTAACGACTGTCAAAGGTGAGCAGGATATTGACAATGGGGGAGGACTGTGTGTTTGTGGAGATGGGACTGTGTGTTTGTGTATAGAGAATAAGAATTCTCTATACTTTCTTCTCAATTTTGCTGTGAAACTAAAAACATTCTAAAAATTCTATTTTTTTCTTTGCAGTGTTGGGTATTAGACCCAGGACTTGTGCACGTTAGTCAAGAGCTCTACCACTTGAGCCATAGCTCCAGTCCTTTATTTTTATTTTGTTTTAGAGATAAGGTCTCTAACTTTTCTTGGGATGGCTTCAAATTTGTAATCCTCCTGCTTCCACCTCTAGAGTAGCTGGAATTATGGGAGTGTACCACCACACACTGTCTGTCTGTCTATCTATCTATCTGCCTATCTACAGCCTGGAATGCACTATGTGGCCTACGCTGGGCTCAAAACTTGTGATCTTCCTGCTTCAGCCTCTTGAGTACAGGGATTAAGGCTTGCACCACTGTCTCCAGCAAAAAATAAATTTTATTAACAGAAAACACTCCCCTCACATAATTTTGAACCTCAGAGTTCAGGATCAGTACACACAACAGTGAGACTGAGGAGAATGCATCCTAGGCCTTGCTAATGTAACTGGCCAGACTTTTCTATGCCTTTACCACAGTGGCTGCCCAGAGACTCAGCTCTCACCTTGTCTAAGGCTAGTTGGGGAAAAAGGTTCAATTCGTATAAGTGGTGAGAAGAACGGAAAGGGGAAAATATAATGGAGTCAAGTGGACACTGACAACACACATACAGTTTGTTACCTGTGTAAGTATAATGGATATATTTAATTATTAAGGAAGTATAATTTTTGAGGAAAAATAAGTTTAAAAAAAAAAAGTTTTTTTCCCATAAAAATATACTTAAAACTTGTTTTTAACATTTTTAAGAATGAGCTAGAAGCACAACAGAAAGAATAAGGTTGCATAATAAAAATTAGTACTTACATTTATCTTGTTGTTGTAGAATTTATTTACTTGACAAATGCTATTGTTTTCTTTTTGGATGCCATTTTTAAGCTTTTCTATATCAAAAGGAGTACTCAACCACTCTTTCAAAAACTGAGTCATTTCTTTCCTGTTACTTAGTACTTGTTGCAATTCAGTATTTATGCTGGTGAAATCATTTTCTGAGAAATCTTTGAGTAGTTCCTGTAAGAAGAACAAGTATCAAATTGCCTGAGTATTAGGGGAGTTTTTATCCAAATATCTATAAAATTGTAAAAATCTCATGAAATATCACACAGAGGGGAAATACTACTGGACTCCCATTTTTAATGTTTTAAAGTAAATTAAGAAATATAATTCAAAATCAAATCTTTATTCTAGTATTTACATAATAAAATTCTGCTATGTGTACATTTGAAAATACTTTGTGAAATCTACAAATTCTACCTGATTAAAATCTGTCAGGATGAAAAATCTGTGACTAATTAGCACAGTACATGAAGTGTTTCTTTCTCAACTATCTAGACGTTGCCTTTCTGTGCACACAGCAGGCCTTCCATGTATTTTGGGACTGGACACCAGTCCCACACTGTTGGTGATAACAAGGCCCTCCATGTGGAGTTGCTGCAATAGAAAGGTTTCTGACTTCCAGTCACAGATGGACTGGAAGATTCCTGCAGATTCTTGCACAGATGCAAGAAGTTTTAGAAAGCATTTGAAAACTTATTCTGGGGTTCAATGTAGTCCTAAGTGTTAATATTAAGGCTTCCTGTGTCTGTGGAGGTGTGGAAGGTGGCTAATCCATTGTTTGGCAGTCTTCATGGCTGGCCAGTTGTTACTCTGCTATCTATTCTTAATTTCTGGTAAATGAACACATGGAGAAGTACTTTTCTATTTGATAAGAATGCTCAAACTGCATTAAATCAATTTGAAATAAATTATACCTCAATATGTAGATCCACATTCAGGTTACATGTTAGGTCTTTCAATTCTTTGCATGGTACATCATAACCCTGTTGCAGGTCCTGTATTTTAATTTGCAATTCATTTTGCTTTTCCACTTCATCAATAAAAGCCACTTCAAATTTATTGATGGAATCATGTTGTTCTTCCTTTGTCTTTGCAACATGGTTTAACACATACTTGCAGAAAAAAGTAAATTTTAAAATAAGCTTTTATCATATTTAGAGTGAATTTTAACTTTAGAAGACCGAGGCGGGGCAGTATCACTTGTTTATTATTTATAGCTTCTGTAAGTGAGGAAGAACGAAGCAGCTCCAATTTATCACCAGATTTTTCCCTCCTCATCATGGAGATGCCAGATTGCTTTTTCCACACTTCTGACTTTCTATGGCTAAATCCATGGATTTATCTCATGGATGTGTTAAGTACCTCAATTCATTATGTTTGCGATGTTACACAATCCCTTTTTGTATAAACTCTCTTCTTGCTACTGTCCCATTTTTGGTTAAGTTTAATTGCCAATCACCTAGGTTTTCCAGTTAGACATTTGAGATTCATTTTCCATATCCTGTCCTGCTCACCTGATTGAATAGCCAGCAAAGTGTTAGATGCATCAAGATTTCCATCAAGCATACTTAGATGTCTGGCTTTAAGCCGAAGTCAGGCAGGTACCTGATTTTTAACTACTCAACTTCTACTATTCCTTAATCTCTGATAATCTGACCTCTTCCCTAACCACTCAACTAAAATTGGTCTATAATATATAATATAATGAGACCATTATAACCAAACCGAGGGGACATCTTTGCTTCATGTTCTAGCTCTCTCAAGTTTTTGCCACTCTAGGCCATTTCATGTTTGAAGTGGTCTCCTATATGGACCTCAGAGATAACACTTTTGCTTGGTTCTCTTCTGTTTCTTAGATTTTTTTTTAATCCTTGAGCCCTTGTGTTGCTTCATTTTCTGTTTCTGTATATCTTAGACATTTATCTTTTCCAGAGTACACTTACTCTATTATGCTTTCTAGATGATACATACATGTATGCTGTATCATCTGTCACCTACATACTGATGGATCCCAAATCTTAGTCCTGACTTTTCTCCTGTAAAACCTCATCTCACAACTAAATGTCTATTAGTTTCTCTTCTTGAATGTTTCATCATGAGAATTTCAACCTCAAAGCATCTCAAACTAAACAACTGATCTCTCTTGCCTCACCCACATTGCTTCTCTTCCTTTTTCCTTTATCTTAGTTAATGGTACAACTATCCACAAGCCCGACTAAGCACAAACTCTAGGATGGCATCCAAACTTCTTTCACTATAGTCTAATTTTTGCAACTTCTTATATACAGTACGTCATACAACCAGTACCTATCTCTATCATTGTACGTATTATCTGTTTATGTCAGTTTCATTAACCAGATTATGAGATCTTTGGATATGACTTGTATCTACCTCCTGAGCACCCTGACACAGTGTCTAGGCCCAAAAATAGAGCTCAGGCTTTGTTGAATGTGTAGGTACTAGTGCATGAAGAATGATACCCATACGGTTTTTAGACCCACACCATCTTTAATTTGGGAGTAAGCATATTAAACAGTACTCTGTCAACTCCCAGGCAGGATTTAAATACACTGAAAATGCATAAGGATATTGCTACAAAAGGTGGTACCTTAAGTTTCTTCATGACTCTTTGGAGTTCCATGGAACATCTCTGGTTTGCAGTAAGAAGCTTTTGAATGTCTTTGGTTTGTGGATATATACGTGACAGGGTTGCCTTTACTCTAATTGAAAGCTCCTTTTGGGTTTCAGTTTCCTTCTCCAAGTCAAGAGACAATCTATCCAAACACTCATAATCATTACTCATCTCCGCATATCTCTTCAGAAGCTCCTAAAAGAAGTCAGAATTCATTCAGTTGAGCACTAAGTAGTATTGATGCAACTATAAGAAAACTTACACACTTTTAACATTTTCTGTAGGAAAGAAATAAATTAATATCATTGTGTTTAAAAGACAAAAGGTCACTATTATTGATTTTGGATTGTAAAAATAATATATAATTGTGGAAATTAAAAATGTAGGCAAATATAATCACCATTTTTATCATTTTGATGCATTTTCTTTTAGTTTTTTGAACATGCATGACTTGAATGAGCACTGGCAAAGTGTGAAGAGAAATTTGAATGAATTCAATTAGTATGTATTGTAGCTCAAGGCTGAATGCTAGCTTATGTTTACAGTAGGAGGTGACAGTGAGCATATAAAACAAGTGACTAAGACTCAAACTACCACTGTGGTTTAATCACTTCAAACATTTCTATGATTTGCCAAATATCTGTTTTCCAATGTTTTGTTAGAGCGAGAGTCCAGGTCCTAGCTCTATAACTTTTTGATGGGGGAGTCACTGGGCCATTTTCCCAACTGCAATATGAATACTATAATAATTGCCACAAAGTTTTCTAAGGGATCGAGATATATGAAATATACATATGTGTGTAAAGTATATATGCACATATAAGACAGATATAGACATTATAGTTTGGAGAAATAAAATTCATTAAAATGTTTCTTTTTTAGCTGGATTTTATTTCTCTAGATTTAGAATTCTCTGATGGTTCTCCATTACAAACAAAAGCAAGCCTAAGAAAAAACATAAGGAGAGACATAAATGGGAGAAGAGGTTATACCATTGACAGAACTAGCCAAGTAAGTACAGTTGTTGGTGGCAAATGAGAGCACTCCATGTAAAAATGTTTTATACCCAAGTTTTAAACTTGGTAGAATCAAATTCTGATTTTATCAGTTTAGTAGCTGTGCAATCTTAGGCAACCACTAAACTTCCTGTCTAAGCCTTTGTTTCCTTTTAATGAATGGAGCAATAAAACCCATATCATGAGGTGAACCATCCAACACAGAACCTGGCATATGGGGGATGTGCAACAAACTTGAGCCCATGTGCTCATGTGACTGGATGCCAGGCAGATGACACACTGGCATAGCACAGGTGGAAATTGTGTTAAGTTTAATCATGCAGTAAGTAACATGTTTAGTTCAGAGTGCTAAAAAACACAACAGGGGAGTGGTGGAAAAAAAAAAAAAGAACAGGAGGCTTCTCACAATAACGAGTCTTCTGTTTTTAATAAGAATAAATTATAACTCATTAATGTGGGAGGCTGCAGAGGGGATTCCCACCTTTGTTTTAGCACGAATCACATTATGGTAATAAAGCAGCACACTGAAGTCTGACTTCAAGAATATTCTAATGATATAGTCAAAAACACAAAAAAGGCCTTACGGATCTTGTATTCTGATAGGGTGATGGTAAATTCTGTTACCTTCAGTATATATTCAAAATCTAAACTACTTCTTACTACTTCCACTTCTACCTCTCTGGGCCAAGACACCAGTATCTTTGCCTGGGTTATTGAAATTAGTCTGTTTCCATTTAATTTTCAATAAACAAATCAGGATTTTCCCTTTAAAGTGAGTCAGGTCAGTCTCTCATGTGGTTAAAACTTTCCAGTGAATCTCTATTTCACTCAAGAGTAAAACTCAAAGTCCTGCCAGGTGCAGTCGCTCACACCTGTAATCCTAGCTACTGGGGAGTCTGAGATCCGGAGGACCAAGGTTAGAGGCCAGCTCAGGCAAAAAGGTCACAAGACCCCATGTCAGCTAATAAAACCTTGGTACGGTGGCATGTGCCTGTCATCCCAATTATGTGGGAAATGTAAATAGGATTGTGGTCCAGACCAGCCTGGGCATAAATGCAAGACCCTATGTGAAAAAGAACAAAAGCAAAAAGGGCTGATAAGAGTGGCTCAAGTGGTAGAGTACCTGCCTAGAAGCATGAGGACCCCAGCACTACCAAACAAACAAAAATAAACAACAAAGCCCTTGTAAGGTCTCACAGTCTGCCTCTACTCGTTAATTCTGACTTTACTTCTTAATAGCTCTCTCCCTTCTTGATGTTCCTCAAGCCTACAAGGCAGTGCGCTGTCTCAGGTGCTTTGTCCTTACTTGTTCCCCCATCTGGACTGATCTTCCTCCAGTACCTGGTTGGCTGAACTCTTTACCTTTTTCAGTTATTTGCCCCAATATTACCTTTCCAGTGCAGCCTTAAAAACCATAACCTTCATTGTTTTGCTTGTATATGTATTATTCGCACACACCTATACTGGACTAGATTCTAACACTGAAAAATATCAAGGACTTGTGATTCACCCCACATTGCTTCCTCTGATTCCATCTTGGCTTCAGGATGCCTTTGGAAAGGTACCCATGTGTACATGCAGTTCTCCCTGGGGATACTTACTTTTATCCTGAAGCACTTTTCTTTCAGGCTTTTTGTAAGGTGTTGTTCTCCATCACATAGTAACCTTTTAAATTTCACTACTTCTTTGTGGGTTTGATGATCCTAGTTAAAAAAAAAAAAACCCAAATAATCATAACCACATTTGTATATGTTTAATTATGTTCTTATTTAATTTTTTTTTTTTTCTTGAGGGAGGCTCTCACTATGTAGTGCAGATTGATCCCAAGCTTGTGATCTTTCTGCCTTCCCAGTGCTGGAATTAAAGACACATGCCACCAATCTGGCTCAATCCTATACTTTTTATATCAGGTTTCAATAATAGATAGAATGAAGTGTTGCACTTATAACTTAAAAATGAGTAACAGTACCACCCTATTTACAAGCTTTTCCAAATACTCTGGAACAGAAAATTCATATTTTGCTTTCATTCTGCACTTTGAATTTGAATTGAAAAGAACAAAACAAAATAAAACAAAAACATTTTTACCTAATTGTTTTATATTTTCTACTTTATTCTTCAGACATTTTTTACTGATTTATTTCATACAACTGTTTGTTTGAACTTTACTACACTTTAGAAGATTCAATTAGGCTTTTTACGGTACATTATTCTGAATATAAACAGTTATGTAAGAAAAACTTCTTTCTTACTATTTTGCCTTTTCCTTTTTAACTACAGTGATGAGTCCACTTCTAGACTTCATCAACAGAGGTATAGAAATGTAGTACTTAATCATTTACAAATCTAGCCCTTCAAATATTTTTACATTTAGAATAATGCTGTTTCTTGTTTAAAAAAAGAACTAGAAACTATATTGAGGAAAACAGTCTGCTTTATTTAACAGATCTGTTTTAAAAATGAAGTAAGTGAAAAATTTTGAAACACTTGGCCTCTTTAAAAACCATGTTTCCTGTTTGTGTGAAAATGATAGTAAGTTTTCCCAACAATCTTTACTGTTCTTAGAAATTTCCAGAAACAAACAAAAAAAGCCCTCCCCCACATTGGCACCATTTTGAAAAAAGCTTGATTCTTATAAGTAGTTCCTAGATAGGTGAAGAATCTGAATACACTATAGTTATCATTTTTTTTTTTTATGGCTGTTCTGAATTGGTCTCTTTCCATTTTGAGAGACTCTTGTATCCTTGGCTCACTGCTTTCCTTAGCTACCATTGTTATTTCTTCAAGTTTTTCTCAAAGTTTCTCAGGCAAGTGCAAGTTATCTACACTCCCACTTTTACAGATAAATTTTGGGTCCCAAATTGCTTCTTCAATTGTTCCAGTTCATTCACTTTTAAAATCATTTTTATTGACATCTTCTGTCATTTTAAGGAGTTCAAGCTCTTTCTTCTGACGTTTTTGCATCTTGATAGAATTATAAAATAAGCTAGAATGCAAACAGAATTCCTCCAATGGAGGAAAACAGAGTCTGTTTGTTACACCTGTATACATCCACAAGTTAGGAATCCCTTATCCAAAATACTTGAAACCAGAGGTGTTTCAGAGTTTGGAATATTTGTGCAGAATTTACTGGCTGAGAATCCCAATCTGAAAATCTGAAAGTTTTTGGACCTCAGGTTGGTGTTCAAAAGTTTTTGGATTTCAGATCATTTCAGAGTTTGAATTTTTGGATTAGGAATGTTATTTATATGTTCATCTGTTCTGATTCTACAAATAAACTTGGACATAGTTGCTCCCCAAAGAACAAAACAACATATACCTTATTCTGTAATTCAACTTTTGATTTATCTAAATCTTTCTGAATATTTAAAATTTGAGTTGTCTTTTCTGAAACCTTTTCTCTGCATTCAATAGTTTCTTCTTTCAGACACATATAAGCAATTTTTAGTTCTGTTGTGTTTCTAGGTCCTTTGTTATGACATTTCCACACATGTATATGATGCACTTTGGTCATAGTCACCTCACAATACCCCTCCTTGTCCCTCTCCCATTGGTCCTTAACCTATCTCCAAATAATCTATATACTTTCATGTCTTTTTTTTAAAAACGTAGATTCCAGAAAACACAGGAAATTTGTCTTTCTAAGTCTGGCTTATTTCTCTTAATATGATGATCTCCAATTCCATCCATTTTCCTATGGTCAACATAATTTCATTCTTCTTTACAGCTGAATAATACTCCACTGTGTATATACACCTCATTTTCTTTATCTATTCCTCTGCTGATGGGCACCTAGGCTGATTCCACAGTTTAGCTGTTGTGACTAGTGCTGCTATAAACTTGAGTGTATAGGTATCGCTATTGTGTGCTGACTTACATTCCTTTGGATATATGTACAGGAGTAGCATGGCATAATCATATGCTAGTTCTATTTTTACCATCATTTTCTTTTTGTTTTTCTCGTGGTACTGGGGATTGAACTCAGGACTGTGCACTTGCTAGGCAGGTGCTCTACAACTAAAGCCACTCTGCCAGTCCTAAGGTAGCTATATTTTTAGTTTTTGAGGAATGTCTGTCCTGGTTTCCATGGTGGTTGCACTCATTTATATTCCTGTCAATGGTGTATGGGTGTTTCTTCTCCCCACATCCTTGCCAGCATTTGTTCTTTTTTCATGATGGCCACTCTGACTGGGGTAAGATGGAATCTCAGTGTCATTTTGATTTACTTTTCCTTTGTGGCTACAGATATAGAACATTTCTTCACGGGTTTATTGGCCATCAGTACTTCTTTTGAGAACTGTTTGTTCAGTCCGATTGGATTACTGTTGTGATTCCTGTGCTTTGGTGCTGGGGGTTGCACTTGGGGTCTTGTACTTGCTAGGCAGGTGCTTTACCACTCAAGCCACTCCACGAGCCCTTTTGTTCCTTTGATGCTTAATTTTTAGTTCTTTATATATTCTGGATACTATATAGTCTGAATATTATATCTTCTGTCAGATGAACAGCTCCCATTCTGTAGGCTGTCTTATTACTCTGGTATTTATTTCCTTATACACTATTGGTGGGAATGTAAGTTAGTACAACCACTATGGAAATCAGTACGGATGCTCCTGAAAAATTAAGAAGTAGTATTACATGTGTTCCTACCACGTAACTCTTGGGCATATCTTCAAAGAAATGTAATTCAGCACACAATATAGGCACCTATACACCGTGTTTATAACAGCACTATTCACAACAGCCAAATTATGGAATCAGCCTAGGTGCCCATCAATGCATGAATGGATAAAGAAAATGTGGTATGTATACACTATAGAATATTACTCAGCCATAAAGAAGAGTGAAATTATGTTGCCTGTAGGAAAATAAACTCAACTCAGAAACACAAATATTATGTTCTATCTCACATGTGGAAATCCACACCTTTTTTTTTTTTTAAAAGAATGACGAGTATAAAATGGGGACTTTTGGGAGTGGGAAACCAGTGGGAGGGTGAAACGGAGAAGTGATAGGGAGGTGAATATGACTGAAGTACTTTATATGCATGTGTGAAAATAGAAAGATGAATCTGTTAAAAATTGTTAAAAAAAGGGGTGAAGGGGATACATAAAAGTTATAGAGGGGATGAATGTGATCAAAGTACATTATATACATGTATGGAAATAGCACAGAGAAATCCTTGGTACAATTAAAATATGCAAATGGAAACAGAATGCTTGCTGGGTAGGAAGGAAGTACACAACTCACGGTGGCCAGGGTTTTCTGCAGGTTTTCCTTCAGTTGATCTCTCTCCAGCTTGAGCATTTCCTCTTCTCTCCTTATACTATCTCTTTCTTTCATTACGGATTTCATTTCTTCAAGGTTTTCATGGAGTTTCTGAACCAAATTTAAGTTCTCCATTTCCATTTTATCCAGAATCAAACTTTGGTTCTTGAGTTGTTTCTGTGTTTCTCTGACATCTTCTTTTAACTTAAAAAGTTGATGTTCATTTGCTTTAAGTTCTTGAATCTTAAGATAATCATAAAGTAATATGTTAGTGTGCAGGCTTTTTACGGGAACAGTAAAGAACAGTTTCTAAATAGATTAAGACAGTACTCTTCTCGTGATATTCTCATTAATATCCTGCATAAATCCATAAGGAATTATTTGAAGTCTAACATATATAATATACACAAAATTTTAGTTTATAGCCCAATTATCCTTGATATATGGTACATCTATAAAAAACTGAGACCATCTCTAGCCCTCCATAAAGTTCCTGTGTGCCTTTCACTAGAGGACCACTATTCTGCCCCTTATTACCTGGGTCAGTTTTGTTTGCTTTTGAGCCTACATACAACATATTTATTCATTCACTTGCAGAGAGGTATTTGAATTATTTTCAGTTTTTCACTATTTTAGGTAAAGCTGCTGTGAACATTCTTATATAGTTTTTCTGTAGATGTATGCACTCTGTTCTCTTAGGTACACCCCATGGGTGGACATGCTGGTCCTTAAGGCAGGAATATGTTTAGCATTAATAAATACCAATAGCCAGGCAGGTTCCCAATGTGGCTGAAGCACTTTACATCCCCAGTAGTTTTATGCATGAACAAATGAGATAAATCTAATCAGAGTCACCTTTCCCCACCAAAAATACCTTTTCCTGTAATTTAGCATTTGAATTTTCTAAATCCATTTTCATAGTTGATATTTCCTCTGTCTTCTCAGAAACAATCTCTCTGAGTCTATCAATAGTTTCTTGGTGTTCTTTCAGATCCATGTGAGCAATTCTTAGTTCCTCTTGCTTTTTCAGCTCCTTTCAGGAACAGTGACATGTGTTAATATGAACTAGTATTTTTCCACATGAAGTTTTTCTTTTCTTTTTTGTTGTGGTACTGGGGACTGAACCCATGGCCTTGTGCATGCTAAGCCAGTGCTCTACTGCTAAGCTAAATCCCCTGTCTGCTTTTACTTCTTACTCTACATCTCTGTTGTTAAAAGTTACAGGTTGTCTGTTTCCATCCTCTTCTCCCCACACTCTTCTCTTCCTTCCAGAAGCAGACACACTGTACATACACTACTGAACAGCATGCTTGCTCTTCAGAATTATCTTGGGCTTCCTAGTAGGACATTCAATTTATTCTTGAAAGCTTGCATATGGATTTATATATTGCTCCGATTTATTCGAGTTTCCTTCTAAGAAACATTTACATTATTTCCCATTTTAATACAAATTACTACAGTAAACAACTTTGTGGTATATGTAGGTATGCATATTTATGTATGTGTATATATGTATACAAATATAAATATATACATGTCCTTAATGATTGAGTCAATATATACGCAGGATAAATTCCATAAAGAAAATGATGGTTACACAATTCAAAATTTTCAAACCTATCAAATTATTTTACCAAATGCCAAAATTATCATTTCACTCTGCCAACATTAACTCTCAAACGGTTCAGTGCAGTAATGAAACACCACACTGACTTGCTGGCCAGAGGAATGAGTGTAACTTACTTTTGCTTCTGTTTCTCTAAGGCTTTTCCTCAGTTGGTCTCGCTCTGTTTTGAGGGTTTCCTTCACAATTCTGAGGCCATCTTTTTCCTCAGTAGCACATTTTATTTCTTCAAGATTTTCATGAAGTTTCTGAGTCAATTTTAACTTCTCTGTTTCTATACATTCCAGAGTTGAATTCTGGGCTTCTAGCTGCTTCTTCAGTTGCTCCATTTGATAGACAGTTTCCTTGAGATCATTTTTTACTTTAAGAAATTGATATTCTTTCTCCTGAAGTTCTAATATCTTGAGATAACCACACAGTAAGTTAGGATATTGAACATATACATAAAAAGCCAAATAGTAGTTCCCAAATTGAATGTCTATTCAATTAATTAAGCAATTAATTAATAGCACTTGTTTTCAGTTTTAGACTCATTCACTTCCCATTTCATTACACAGAAGACCTGATTCAAACTCTGTTACTCAGGTAACAAATGAAAAAAAAAATAATATATATATATATATACCTGTGCTTTTAAGGTACCATTTGCATTGTCTAAGTCCTGTTGTATATGTGATATTTCATCTGTCTTCTCAGAAATAATCCCTCTGAGTCTGTTGATAGTTTCTTGGTGCTCTTTCAAATGCACATGAGTAGTTCTTAGTTCCTCTTGTTTTTCCAGGTCCTTATTGTTCAAGAAAGAAAAATAATACATGGAGAGTAATGCCAAGTCAAACAGCGTGGAAAGTAAAAGTCTCCTTTGCCCCGCTGAGGCTTCCCAGTCTTCTCTAAGCTACTTTTGTATTTGTCATATATTCTAGATATACTACTCTGAAACTTACCCCTTTTCTTAACAGGACGCTTACCACTGCAGCACTATAGTTCTACTTTATTCTTTATCCATGGTGCAGTATTGTATGGTCTGAATATGCTGTACTTATTTAAATAGTCCCCTACTAATAGTGAGTCAGAGTTTCCCCTAATTTTTTGTTCGCTTCATTTTATTATTACAACTTGTTGCAATAAATATCCTTCTACAAATATCTTTGTACAATTGTGCAAATGTGTGCAGGATAAACAGCTGCAATTAGACTCTTTGGGACCAACTTTATATCTCCACCCACCCTGTGACCCATTGTACTTTTAGGAGACAAGGTTGTGGTTACTAGGTAGAGGAAATGTAACTCACTCTAGTTATGGTATCTTTAAGGTTTTCCTCGAGCTGCTCTCTCTCTTCCTTGAGAGTCTTCTCCATATTCCTAAGGTCATCTCTCTCCTTTGTTACAGATTTCATTTCTTCAAGATTTTCATGGAGTTTCTGAGTCAACTTTACATTCTCCTTTTCTATATTTTCCAGAGTTGACTTCTGTGCCTCAAATTGCTCTTTCAAGCGTTCCATTTCACATATTTTTTCCTGAGCCTCATCAACAGCTTTCATCTTAAGACACTGATGTTCTTTTTCCTGAGAAAATAAAATTAAGTTAGGACATGGAGATGCTACTTTCCAACTTAAAAATATAAGACCCACTTTTTCCTATAATTCAGCACTTGAATTTTGTAAATTCCTCTGAGCATTTGCTGCTTTATCTGTCTTCCCTAAAATATTCTGTGACCTAAGTTTCTTAATGAATACAAGCAGCTTGTAGTTCCTTTTGTTTCCTTTCTAATTAGAGAAAAATTAATAAACCTTAACAGTTAATAGTATCATCATGATCTCCTTCACTAATTTTGTTTCCACAAAATATTAGAAGAGGGAGACTTACTTTAGCTACAGTTTCTTTAATATTTTCTTTTAGTTGGTCTCTCTCCACCAGAAGGGCCTCCTGTACTCTTTTTAATTCATCTCTTTCCTTAATTACAACTTTTATTTCTTCTTGACTTTCTTCCAGTCTCTTACTTAGCTGGAGTCTATCATTTTCTATACTTTGCAGTGCTGAATCTTTGGCTTCAAGAAGCTCCTTGAATTGTTCTAGGTCAGTTGTTTTCTCCTGAGTCTCATTAATTGCTTTTACACTGATAATTTGTTGTTTCTCATAAAGCTCTTGAATCTTAAAAAATAATAAATAATAGACAAAAATATACATACACACATATTTATTTTAAAGAAAGGTAAAAATGAGTCACTTTCCAAACTAATTTAATATGTAAACAGCAGTCTTCCAGTTAGCTACCTCCTTCAATTTCCTTTCACTGTTCCTCACCCCAAAGTTACCTTTTTCTGTAATTCGCCACTGGTTGCCTCTAGTTCTTTTCGAATGCTTGCTATTTCAGTCTCCCTCTCAGAGAGCTTCACTTTCAGTGCATCAATAGCTTCCTCTTGTTCTTTCAGGGTACAACAAGCAACTTTAAGTTCCTCCTCAGTTTCCAGGTGCTTAATTATTCAAGAAAATTCCAAGAAATTTATAGACACATTATAACCATTACAGTATAAGTAGCTCATTTTTGCAAAGGTTTAGTTTCTTATGACAATGTTCACTTAAAAAAATACTAAAACAAAACAAAACAAAACAAAAAACACATGGTGAAAAGATGAAACCTACTTTAGCTGTGATTTCTCTCATGTGTTCCGTGAGTTGGTCGTGTTCTGATTGAAGAACTTTGTGTAGCCCCTGCAGGTCATCTCTCTCCTGAACTAATAACATCATTTCATCGTGACTTTCTTGAAGTCTCTTGGACAACTTGAGCTTTTCTGTTTCTACTCTTTGTAGCACTGACTCTTTGGCTTTGAACTGCTCCTTCAATTGCTCCATCTCACTCATTATTTTAGTAGTCTCATTGGCTTTTTCTTCTATATTAAAGGACTGTTCTCTTTTGTCTTGAGCCTCTTGGATCTTAAGAAAGTCATAAAATAATACAGTAGATACCCAGAGATATTTAATTTTAGAGGAAAATAATTCAGGATATTTTATGCAACATTGAGGCAGAAATGGATAGTTCATTTACAGAGTAATCTTTCCACTTGTCCACTTTTCAATTATTGGAACATTTAACACTGAGTGTTAGCTTCCTACTAGAGGTCAGAGATAAAGTAGTTAATACTTGTATATTTCTGCTTTTTGAGACTTACACTTTAGGGGGAATGAGAGATATGCCAAAACTTGCAAACAGGTGCTGGATTCCCCCAGGCCCTTTGTGGCATGCCTACCTATTATGAGTGATTAGGAAGGGCTTCCCAATCCTAAAATCTGAAGAATAAAAGCATTCGTTACACAACAGAGGTTATGGAAGTTCTATAGGCCGAGAGATCAGGGCATCTGAAAGCACTGAGATGAGAAGTGCAAAGTGTTGCTGCAGCAAAGAGGGCAGCAGTGAGCTGGAGCCAGGCTAGAGACCACTAAGGAATGGTGTCTATGGTCCAATAGGCCTTGTGTAGGTTTCCTGTCTTATTTCAAGAATAACAATAAGATATTAAAGGAATTTAAGAAGAAAAGATCACTTGGGCTCAGAATAGGGAATAGGTTAGAGAAATGTAAGGATGAACATTCTATTCAGAAAGCTACAAAGAAATAATGATTACCATGGATTAGGGTGTGGCAGTGTGGTGGGAAAAGTGGGAAGATTTTAATATATGCACATATGTTGTAACACCAAATTTAGACAACGAGTTGTGGAATGAGTGGGGAGGATGGAATAGAGATGATTTCCAGTCTTCTGACTGAGGACAATGAAAACAACAGTGAGGAACAGTTTTTTTTCTTTTTTAAAATTCACGACAGGGCCTCACTATGTAGCCCCAACTAGCCTTGAAAACTCACCATTCTCTTGATTCAGCCTCCCAAACACTAGGATAACAGACATGTGTCACCATGCCTGGCATGGAAGAAGAGATTAAAAGAAGGAAAGAAAATAACTCACTTTAGCCTTTTCTATTTCAATAATTCAGCATTGCTTCTTCTAAATTAATTCTGAAAGAAAACAACTGTCTTCTCTGAAACATTGTCTCTCAGTTTCAATAGTTTCTTAGCATTCATAATCATTTTAAAATTATTGTTTGCAATCACTTCATCATTAAGTGACAATTAAAGAAAACTGGTAATAACATTTTAACTCTAACACAATACCCTTTTTTTAAAGTCTTGATTTTTTATAAAATACTAATTAAATGGGAGAAATGAAACTCACATTAGACAAAGTTTCTCTAATGTCTTCTTTCAACTGGTCACATTCAATTTGAAGTGCTTCTTTTGGTCATCCTTAGTTAGAGATTTTCTCTCTTCTTGACTTTCTTGAACTTTCTCAATCAGTCTGAGGCTTTCCATTTCTATACTTCCTGGTATTGTTGAATCCACGGTTTTGGATTGTTCTTCCAGGAGGTTCAGTTCATTCACTGTTTCCTGAATCCTACTGACTTCTTTCATATTAGGAAGTGGCTCTTGTTTCTTATGAAGCCCTGGGATCTTATGACATTCATAAAGTACCAAGGTTACTATTTAGAGATTATTTTAATTTTTTTTAAAAGAAAACGGTCAGGACACTCTCCACAGCATTAAAACCCTGAACCTTCAGGGCCTACCTTGAACCACAAACCCCTACTTACTCATTTTCCTGATTCCCACTGACACTATTCATGACTTTTCTGCTAGTCACAGTCTGTCCTAACTTTCTTTCCAGCTTAGATCCATAGCAAACCAATCCTTATTTTTTACCAACAAACTGTTAATTCAGTCAACTACATCTGTCTTATCTTTTTTTTTTAATTGCTATTTTCCAAATGTTACAAGAGACAAAAACCATAATGCACATTCATATGGGTTTCAATGCCACCTCTCAATTTTTCTATGAGTGATACTGATTCCCTTTGTGACCTGATCATTAGTGGAACCATCTAACTTTGCATACCATATTTCTGCATGTTCTACACTAGAACTGAGGGATTTAAAAAAAATATGATTGCAAGGGGAAAGTGAATGCTTTATTTATACCCATAGTCTGAATGCTTGGCACAAAGTAGATTTTTAACATGGGTTGGTTCAGTTATCCCAATCTTTCATTTTCTTCACAGCAGTTACTATTATCTGACACTATCTTGTTCACTGATTGCTTATTCATCTGCTGTTTCCTTTTATACAAATGGATAAGAACTTCAGGTAATTTGTCCACTTCCTTCCCATTGTATTCCTATAACCCAGACAGTGCCTGCCATGACAGACTGTCAACCAATACTTACCCAGTAAATGAATGAACCATAACTCAGTCACTGTTTATTGCTTATATTTCCTTCAAAGGAGAAAGGAAGGGAGAAGTGACAAAGAACAGAAGGAAGAAAAGACATACCTTTTCTTGTAATTTGGTGTTGGATTTTCCTGAGTCCTCCCAAATATTTATTATTTGAGCTTCTTTCTCAGAAATGCTTCTTCTCAGCCCATCAATAGTTTCTTTGTGTTCTTTTAAATGCATATGAGCAAGGTTTAATTCTTCTTTTGTTTGTAGGCCCTTATTTAATAAGTTAAAATTAAAGAATATTATAACAACATTATTCCAACATTGCCTCCCCTATTTAATTAGTTCAGTTTTTAAAGAAACATTTAACAGAGGAGGAAAAAGTATACAGCTTACTGCAGCTTCAATTTCTCTTATACATTCTTGAAGTTGGTTTCTTTCTATTTCAAATGACTCTTGCAATTCCTTTAGGTCATTTCTTTCTTTGATTATGGATTTCATTTCCTCATAATTTTCATGAAGTTTCTGAGCCAACTCTTGTTTCTCCATTTCCATATGTTCCAATATTAATTCTCGGTTCTTTAATGTATTCTTTAAATTCTCCATTTCATCCATCTTTTTCTGCATCTCAGTCATCTCTTCTTGGACAGTAAGAAGTTGTTGCTGTTTTTCTTGGAGTTGAAGGCTCTTAAGATGTAAAATTTTTAAAATTATCATTTTATCTATATTTTCTCACATTTTTATCTAAGACTATAAACTCAGCACTATCTAAATCCCCAATAAAAACAGACAGCATTAAAAGTAAATTAATTATGTCGGCACAGTGTTTATAGGTATATTAAGCTAAAATTCAGGCTTATCTTAAACCTCAGAACGTGAGCACGTTTGGAAACAGGGCCTTTGCAGAGCTCTAATTAGGTAAGGATTGAGAACAGATTCTACTGGATTAGAGTGGGCCCTCAAACCAACAAGAAAGAGGATATAAGAGACGGAAAAAGATACGGAGAGATCTAGAAAAGGTCAATGTGAAGTTGAAAATAGAGACTGGAATGGTGCAGTTACAAGTGAAGTATGTTACAGATAGCAGGGAGATACCTGAGATAGGAAGAGAGAAGGATGGATTCTTTCCTAAGACTTCAGAGGGAATGTGGTACTGAGGACACTTCAATTTTGGGTTTACAGAACAGTGACAGAATACATTTCTGTTGTTGTAAGCCACCCAGTTTATGGCAATTTTGATATTACCTAGGAAACTGATATAGTTTGATCAAGGTAGTAAGGTAAAAATGAAAAAATCAAAATAAAAAACCCCTAAGACGCCAATAGACTAATTAAATATACAAATATAGCTACCAAATAGCTACGATCCCTCATCGTGTCATAAACTTTTCAAAAGACACCTAAGGGGTGGTTCAAACAAATGCATAGGCTATTGACTTCATTTGTTTAGGAGGATTATGAAAAACAGGTTTTAGTACATTCAATTATGTGAGATGGTGAAAAGGATCACAGGTAAAAGTAAAACAGATTTGGAAAAAAAAAAAAAAGTCCTACACAGAACAACAGAAACCACAATATATTACCCACAATGCAAGTGGTTCTCAGTTTAAATAAAAATATCTCTATGGGTACCTTTTAGAATCACTTGGACAGTACAGTTAATAGTAGTCTTAGGTTTTATACATGTTTTACAACAGCACCTTAAACCATAAAAGAAATGATTCTGAAATTGCAAACATCTGAGATGGTGATAGTGACCAGGCCTACATTTTAAAGACTCTCCAATACATCTCCATATGGACAGGCCCTTTGTTTGGTTAACTATTGTACCTCAAATGTGCAGGACAGTGCCTAGTCCATGGAAGTGCTAAATAAATGTTCAATGGATGACTACATTATTATACGATTAGTTTAGAAGAAACAAAGCCCCCCTTAGAATATCAAAGATAACTTTGAAAATTCACCTTGTCCTCCAGCTTTTCTTCAACTTCTGCCAATCTCTTACAGGTCCTACAAAGTTCTTCGTCTTTCTTTATGGCATGGTTCTTTTCTTGTACAACTATCTCTCGTTGTTTTTTAAGTTCATCTCTAAGAATTCTTAATTCTTCCTGGTTTTCAATGGTCTAGAACCAAAAGAAAAAGTTTAGATTAAATAAACAAAATAAATAATATTAGCTTACAGTTATAAAATCAGGAGGCATTAACCTTAGCCTACAAATGAAGAAATCCAGGCCAATCACATAGGAAAAGGCTATTTTTAAAGAAAGTGAATCTTTTATTTAATCATATAGATGCCAAGAACGTGTTTTTCTTTTTTTGCAGCATTGGGGTTTGAACCTATTCAATTCAGGACTTTCCACTTATTTATAAGGCAGGTGTTCAATGGCTTGACCTTTGCCTTCAGTCCTTTTTTGCTCTGGTTATTTTGGAGAGGTCTTGCTTTTTGTCCAGAGTGGCATGGGTTGTGATCCTATTTTAAGCATCCCACCATTGCTGGAAAGACTGGTGTGTACCACTTGCACCCAGCTATTGGTTGAAATGGGGGTCTTGCAAACTTTTTGCCTGTGCTGGCCTAGAACTGTGATGCTCCTGATCTTAGACTTCCCAGTAGCTAGCATTACAGGCATTAGTCATCAGAATCCTGCTAAGAATCTGCTTTTTACACTGTTTCCTTATTGTTTAATTTATATTCCTACAAAAAGCAGAATTTGATTTACCATTAAATCATGAGACCTTAGCTCATTTTTGCCCCTAAAGAGACTGTTTCAATGTTTTCCTCGATTAAAAGTGAGACTAAGTTACGGATTTTTCATATGCTGGGATGGCTTTGATTTTGAGCACTGATCACTAGTGAGCTCAAGTGGCACGCACCTGTTGCAGGCATGATATGGACTAGTTCATGATTAAGCTCACACAGTGATATTCTCATTTATCAAAATCACAAGGACATAACTTTTGTTTGTGTACATATTTACATTCAGTTCTTTTTATAAAGTAGACAATTCCAAGAATTATAGAAAAATGACAAAACGGTCAGGCTCTACTGTGATTCATTAGATTATTAATTTCAGCCTATATTGATTATGTTGCCTCTAAACATAGACACAAAAACTAAACCAGGTGTGGGTATATTGGCAAACACCAATGAAAACAAAACAAAGCAAAAAAATTCAACAGTAAAAGAGAAAACACTTAGTAACAAATTTAACAAAATATGTAAAAGGCCTACCACACTGAAAATCTATAATATACTGTGGAGAAACTATTAGAAGACTTATAATCGCCAATAAACATATGAAAAAGTGTTCAATATTCTCTGTCATTGTGGAAAGGCAAATTAAAACAAGGTACACAGAGGTGTGGGTCAAACAGCAGAATGCCTATCTAGCAAATGCAAAGTCCTAAGCTCAACCCAGTAACCATCAACAAAACACAAACAAACAAAAAAACTCCCCAAAACCAAAAAGCTAAATTAAAAGCATCAACAAATATGAAAAGTTTATGATACAGAATGTGGAACCACCAGAATTCTCTTAACTTGCTAATGGGAATGTAAAGTGGTAAAAAGTATTTGGAAATTGGTCTAGCACATTCTCAAGTTAAACAAGTTAAACACACACCTTCCTAAACACAGCAGTTCCATTTAGCTGAACACATATGTAGAGACACTTGTCAAAACTCATCAGGCCGTACATTTCCATGAGATGTATTTATTGCTTATACTTTACACCTCAATAAAGTTGACACAAACTTAAAATAAACAAAGACAAAAACGCACTGCCAAGTGTACAGTGCTAACTCCTACCATTTCAATGTTTTCCTTTAGATCTGTCTTCAACTGTTCCTTTTCTACCGTAATCCTTTCTAACATTTGTTGGAGTTCATTTCTCTCCTGTGTTAAAGAACATATCTTCTTCTGCTGCTCATTTATCTCATCATCATTAACATCAGCAATCTGTGTTTGGATGTTTTTGGTTCTCAAATTCTGATCTTTATCTATGCCAGCCATCTAAAACAGAAATACATTAAGCAAGAATTTAAGTAATTAGTAATGACTACGCTAACATTAATAAAAATGTATCTGGTAATAGTCTCTTATCGTAACACATTTAATCTCACTACAACCTTATTTTTATTATTATTATCAGTAGTAATAACACCTATTATTGTTCCCATTTATAGATAAGGAAATTGAATTCACGAGAGGGAAAGTCACTTTCTGAAGGTCACTCAGAGACAGGTATTGTCAGGTGTTGGTCTCATGTGGTCTGGTTCCAGATATTATGCCCTGTTCACTGATAAGAGCTACCTGGACAGCTAAAAATACTAGTAATTATCTTCATGCATGTTAGGTTAACCTGACTTTATGTGTGTTCACTTACTTCAAACCAATCACATCATTAAAAGATTCATGCTCTTCCTTTCTACAAATCTTCTAAAATTATTTTCTAAGTTTCATAAGTTTGGGGTTTAAACGTAGGGCCTTGTACTTGCTAGGTAGGTACTCTACCGCTTGAGCCATCCCCAGCCCTTTTTGCTTTAGTTATTTTTCCAATAGGGTCTTACATTTATGCTTTGGTGGCCTGGACTGTGGTCTTCCTATTTACACTTCCTGCAGTAGCTGAGTGACAGGTGTGTGACACCACGCCCAGCTTTTCATTGAGATGGGGTCTTGACAACTTTTTATATTTGGGCTGGCCTCGAACAACATGCCTGCTGATCTCTGCCTCCTGAGCAGCTAGGGTTACAGGTGTGAATCACTGTGCCTTGCTAGTATTTTGTTTTACACTACTAAAGAAGGAACAGCCTTGAACTCTTACTAGTTTATTTGCAATAAATCTTCATTTTCAGACTGGTTTAACCCACAAAAAACCTGGACTTTTATTCTATGTAGAAAACAAAATAATTCTGGTAGAGCTCTATTTCATTTTATAATAGCATAGTTTATCTTTAAAAAAAAATTTACCTACTGCTTAAGAAAACCATGTGATAGCCGAGCATGGTGGTGTATTTCTGTAATGGTAGCTACTTGGGAAGTGGAGACAGGAGGATCACGAGTTTGAGACCAGTAGGGGCAAAGTCAGTGAAATGCTGTCTCAAAAGCAAAATAAAAACAAAAGGGCTTGGCATGGCTCAGGTGGTAGAGTGCCTGCCTATCATGCATGAAGCCTTGGGTTTATTTACCAGTACCACGTAAAAAGAAAAGCATGCTAAAATAATTCATTAAATCCATAAGTAAGTCATAAGCAAAGGTAGCCCAATAGATGAACTCTTTGGTAAAGGGAAACTGAGACTGACGTTAGATATATTGGCATGAAATTAGGGTACCACTCAGCTCCATACTGGGCATACATACTTTGAAAAGTTTCATAAGAATTAGTAATCATACCAGAAAAAAGAAGAAAACCATCCAATGTCACCAACTTCACAAAACCACTATTAGAATTCTGACATATTTCCTTACAAAGGTTTTTTTTCCATTAAAAGAACTGTTACTGTGCTCAGCTTATATACATATGAGTTTTAGCTTTCTTCCTTTAGATCTTTTCCCCATGCTGGTATGCAATCTTCAAGTTATAATCTTTTAGTAGCAGCTTGATTCTCTCGTGCATACAGATAAATGATAGTTCACTTAGCTACTCCCTTATTGCCTGCAAGATGCATGAGCTTCTGACAAAGGTGAGCACAGACTAGCTATATGAGGTACTATTTAGTCCTTGGGACTGGCCTGTCAGGTGTTAAAATTCAGAATCTTGCATCTTTCCTACTAAAACAATAGAATGCACGAATATAACACAGACTGAAAGTCTTCTATAACAATATGCAAGGTACATTTCAAATCTGAACTCAGCCTAGAAAGTATTCCCCTAGCATAGTTATAAAGTATAACCTGATAGATGTAATTATTAAAGAAAAAAATGTTGCTCTTTGAGACTGAGCTTCCTAACTACAGAGTTTAGTGAGCACTCCAGGAGATGTGATAGACCCACTAATGCAGCCCTGTGGTCCCAGATGAACAGAGAGAACTCTGAGACTCCCTATCCATTTATTTACATGGTCAGTTACAAAATGAATACTTTACCACAAAGCTCAGGAAACAAACATAAAAATAAATAATTTAAAGAACAGAATAGAGGTTACCAGAGCCTGGAAGGTATGGGGGTGGGGGAAGGTAGAGAGATAGATAATGTTAATGGGTACATGGGAAGGAAGATAGGAGGAATAACATTCAGTGTTCTATTAGCACAATAGGACTACAATTAATTGAATATTTCAAAGTAGCCATTAGAAAGGATTTTGGATATTCCCACGCAAAGAAAGGATTTATATGTCTGAAGTGATAGACATGCCATTACCCTAATCTGAGCATTACATATTGTATACCTGTATTGAATGTCACACTGTACCTATAAAAATGTACAATATATGTCAATTAAAAATAGAAATATACATAAAATGAAAAGACGGGGTAAAAACAAAAGAAAACTTAAAACGTGTGTATTAAAAGATATAACTGGACTGGGGATGAAGCTCAGTGGTAAAGTACTTGCCTACCAATGAAAGGCCTTAGGTTCAACTCCTGCCATTGAAAAAAGAATACATAATCATCAAACTATAAGGGTAACCTGTGCAATGGAGAAAACATTAGCTAATTCTAGTACCAAAAAAAGGATTAGTATTCAGAATACAATACAACAAAACCAAACAGTCCAATATAAGCAACGGACTTTCTGCAAAGATATAAAAATGGCCAACAAGCATACAAAAAGTTGCTCAACATCACAAATAATCAGAAAAATGCAAATCAAAACCATGCTGAGATATTGCTCACACCCTTTTGGATGGCTACTTTAAAAACAAAAACAGAAAATAACATGTCAGCACAGAGTAGAGAAGTTGGAAACCAAACCTTACTTTTTCCTTTTGCAGTGCTGGGCAAG